ACGTCGCGCGGTTGGCAGGCCTTTCAGCGCAGTGGCAAGTCCCAGAGGAAATTACTGAAGTCGGCTTTCTCCGTGGACACGAGCCATGTCGCGCGTGACGAGAAGAAGGACACCTTGAAATGCAAGACATGCAAATGATACCAGTAGGGCGCCCGTGCCATGGCCCGTAGAAGTAGGAGCATCGGGGGTGCGAGCGAGAGGGAGGACGAAACCGATGAAAAGAGTATCCCAAAGAAGGTGGAAGCGGAGGAAGAGGAAGAGGAGGAGGAGCAGGGGGAAGATGGGGGAGAGGCGAAATGGGTGTCAAAGAAGAGGAGGAGGAAGAGGAGGAGGAGGAGGAGGAGGAGGAGGCGGCGCCTGTCGTGTCCTAAGGCGTCGAAACAGAAACAGAAACAGGAGGAGGAGGAGTCATTATCCCGTCTTGAGGTGTCACGGGGGCGCCTTGGAGGTAGTGTATGGGCCTCTTCGGGATTGTCTGGGAGCCTGTTGGGGGCCTTTTGGGCCTCGTTTTGGGCTCCCTGGGGCCCTCTTGGGAGGTTCTTGCAGCAGTCTGGCTCCCTCTCGGCTCCCTCCTGGCGCCGTCTGGAGGCCCTCGTGGGCCGTGTTGGGCGTTTCTTGGGCCTTTTTTGGGCCCTCTTGGACCTCTCTCGGCAGTTGCTGAGGCCGTCATGGGAGGATATGGAAGGTTTCATCCCGTGTCGGGCTTTGCGAAACCGCAAGAGGCCAATATGGCAAAAATAAATGTCCTACGAAGGGAATGGGACGATTTCTGCTTCTTGGGGCTCGCTTGGAAAGAGCGTGTTCTACCGCTGCTGGCGGAAAACCGGGGGGGTCACTACCGGTTCGAACCCCTCCCCCCCCCCCTCCCCCCCCCCTCCGGAAAACCAGGGGGGGTCACTACCAGTTCCGGTTCGACCCCCTCCCACCCCCCCCCCCCCCCCCCACAATGAAAATGGGGGGGGTCACTAACCGGTTTTCTCACCCCCCCCCCCCCCTCAAAACCAGTGGGGGTGCGGAACCAGTGGGGGGACGGTTTTTGGTGGGATCAGTTGGTGAGGGGACAGCGGGACAGTGTTTTTTTTTGGGGACAGCGGGGACAGTGGGGACAGTGGTGGGACGAGAGGTGTGTGGGACGTGGTGGAGACAATGGTGGAACAACGAGGGGCAGTGGACGTGGTGGGCACAGGTGGTGGTGGGGACAGTGGTGTGGGGACAGTGGGAATGAGGTGGAACCACTGGGACAGTGGAGGGTACAATGGTGGTGGGGACACTGGTAAAGGCGTCGGCGAGGACGGCGGTGGGACAATGGGACAGAGGTACAGTGGGGACAGTGGCGGGGACAGTGGGGACAGTGGGGACAGTGGTGGGAACAGTGGGACAGCTCAGTGGGACAGCGGAGGAGTCAGTGGGACAGTGGGGACAGTGGGGATAGTCGGGCAGTGGTTGGGTCCGTGGAGACAGTGGGGAGAGTGGAACCGTGGTGAACCATTGCAGGCACAGTTGGGGACGTGCGGTACAGGACTTCAGTCTGCAACAGGTTGTGGCGGTGGTGGAACCAGTGGGGACAGTGGTGGTGAGGACAGTGGTGCTGGGAACAATAGTGGGGGATGTGATGCGAGCGGTGGTAGGGACCGGGAGTCGTTTGCTGGCGGTGCGTGGGGGGGGGGTCGAACCGGCAGTGACGCCCCTCCGGTTTTCGAGGGGGGGGGGGGTTCCAACCGGTAGTGACCCCCCCCGGTTTTCCGGATCCGGAGGGGGGGGGGTGGAGGAGTTCGAACCGGTAGTGACCCCCCCCCGGTTTTCGAGGGGGAGGGGGGGGGGAGGGGTTAGGGGAGGGGGAGGTTTTGCCGCGGGGGAAGGGGGGGTGGGTCCAGCAGGGGGGGGGGATTTTCGGAGGGGGGGGTTTTCCGGGAGGGAACGGGGGGGGGAGGGTTCCAAGCAGGGGGGGGGGGGGGGATTTTCGGAGGGGGGGGGGGGAGACCCCCGGGCTCCGGAGGAAAAGGTTGGCAATTTTCCACAGTAAAGCGGCGGTGGATCACGCTCTCTCCTCGCTTGGGACGCCTCTTGGGGGCCTCTTGGGTCGTCCCGGGGGCTTCGGAGGCTGTCTGGAAGCCATCTTGGGCGTTTTGGAAGGATATTTCGGCGACTCGTCGCCCTCTTGGACGGTCAGGGAGGCGTTTTGGTGCCCTCTTGGCTTGTTTTGGGCCCTCTGTTCCCCCATGACGCGTTCGGCGGTGGGTCGTACCGGGCGAAGGGGGGGTGTCGAATTGCCGGTTTGGGGTCCCAAGGGGGGCTTATGGGGGGGGGGAATCTCACACGCCTAGAGACCCACAATGGGTCGACGGATGACAGGCGCGCCCAAGAGCGCCCCAAGAAGACCCCAAGAGACCCCCAAGAGCGCTCTAGGAGCCACCCAGACAGTTCACAAGAACCCCAATACGGCCCGAGAAGGGCCAAGAAGGCCCCAGGAGACTCCCAGGAGCGCCCCAGGAGGCCCCCAAACGGCCCAAGAAAGCCGCAAGACGGCCCAAGATGGCGCCGAGACGGCTTAAGAAAGCTCCCACAGAACCCCACGACGCGCGCAGACAGCCCAAGAAGACCCTAGAAGTCCATAAGAAGACCCAAGGGCCCCCAAGAAGCCCCCAACAGGCCCCAAGACAACCCCGCGCGGCGCCAGGAGCATCGTACTCGCCCTCGTTCTCTTCGTCTTCGTCCTTGTGTTTCTCTTCCTCCTCGTTATCCTCATGCTCTTCCTCGCTATCCTCACGTTCGCCACGTCGTCCTCGGTATCGACTCCTCGTTGCCCTCGCCTTCCTGTTCTTATTCGCCCAGTACGCCCATTAGACTCCAGCGGCGCTTCCCGTTTTTGTCCGATCAGTTTCCGGGTTTCGGGCCCAAGACGGCCCAATAGGCCTCCAAGATGGCGAAAGATCCTCCCAAGCACCCCCCAGACGACCCAAGAGAGGCCCAAGAGGGCTCCAAGACGGCCCCAAAGCGATCCAAGACAGCCCCAAGACGGCCCAAGAAGGCCCCAAGACGGCCCAAGAGGCGCCCAAGACGGCCCAAGAGGGCCCCAAGACGGCCCCAAAAAGGGCCCAAATGGGGGACCACGAACCGACAAGTCAAGCCTTCCGCCCCAAGAGGCCCCCCCGAGGCCCCCAGGGGCCCAAAAGAGGCCCCCAAGAGGCCCCAAGTTGGCCCCCGAGAGGCCCAAAAGAGGCCCCAAGAGCCTCGAACACGGTCCCCACGAGGCCTGTGTTATTTCAGGAGGGGTATCGAAATAAGATCGCCGTTCTTAAGGGTTTTTTGAGGGGCCTCTTGGGCCGTCTTCGAGCGCTCTGGGACCGTCTTGGGGCTCTCTCGGGAAACGGCGGCCCACGTGTGACGACGACGACGACGAACGACCAAGGACGAACGACGAACGATGAACGACGACGACGACGACGACGAAGACGAAGACGACGACGACGTCGGGTCATCGCAAGCCCAGCGAAAGCGAAACGGCGAGAAAGCAGACAAAATAGATGTCCTTTAGGGTTGCACAGGATTGTGGCCTCTTGACAGACCTGGGAAGCTCGGAGAGCACTGGGAACCGTCTTGGGGCCGTCTTCGTGCCTCTTGGATGCGCGCCGGAGGTTAGATTCGACCATCTTGACGTATCTTGAACCATACTGGAGACTATCTTGTCTTGTACAGGGCCCTCTTGGAGCCATCTTGGACGAAAACGGACGCTCTGACACCTCGCGAACCCCCCCGTCCAGACCCAGGGAGGGGGGGAGATAAACCTCCAAAGCACGAGGAATACGGACATTGGCAAAAGACACGCCCTGAACCACCTGCGCCCTACAGAGCTTGTGGCATTTGTTTGACAACCCTTCCGATCCTGAACGTTTTTGTTGATGCGATCCTGCTGCTTCCACGCTCAGACCGTTCGGCATATTTCCTTAGCCTGCCAGCTTTCACGCTAAAAGATCTCGACTGTGCCCGCATGTTCTGGAGACACGGCAACCTTTTCTGAACCGCCGCAGGCAAACACGCAGGGAAGTCACAAACGTTGGGGAGAACAGAGGGCGCTGGCGTCGTCAGCAAACGTTCGTTGCCTCCCATGTCGTCGTCGTCGTCGTCATCGCCGTCGTCGTCGTCATCGCAATCGTCGTCGTCGTCGTGGTTCTCATCGTCCTCAT